CGCGGGGCCGCCCGCCGGCAGCGGCGCGCTGGGCCGCGGAGCGGCCCCGCTCCCTCCGCCAAACTTCCGTGGGGACCAGCGCGGAGCGGGGGCGCGTCCCCCGCGGCGGCGCGCAGAAACACGCAGGCACTGGCAGACCCGCGCCTCTGGCTGGAAGTTGAGGGAGGGATTTGCCTTTTTAAAATTTTTTTCCCTCATTCACGGGCGGGGGGGCTTCCCTGCCGGTCCCCCCCGGTACGTGGGCCGGGCGCGCTGCGCGCCCGCGGAGCCGCCCGCGGAGCCCCGCGCCATCGCGCCGCGCGCTCTAATTGAAATGGCGCTTTTGGCCGGGGGCGGGCTGCCAGGGCGCTCCGCAATAGCACAATGCATGTCGATAGACGTCATTTGGTTTTAATGGCCTACAGGAAATTTGGCGTTTACAATGCGAGACATTAGCAAAGGGTGAAAGGGAGGGGGAGGCAGGCAGGATGGATGGCTGGGAATAATTGCAGCCCCCCCCGCCCCCGAGGCCCCCCGTCCGCACCTCGGCGGCGCTGGGTGCTGCAGGGAAGGGGGGGTCGGCGCTATTTTTTTATTATTTATTTTTTAACTTCATCTAGTTTATCAACAAGTGCAGAGTGGGTGCTACCCTAATTGTAACAGAGGAGTCAAGAGATGTGAGAAACGTGCCCTGTGTTACTTATTTGGGAGCTGAAAATTTATGCCTAGTTGAAAATGCCTGGGGAAATATTACATCAGACCAAATGACAATGATTAAAATCAGCTTTTTTCCCCCCTTCCCCCCCCCCCTCTTTTCCTCCTTCTTCTTTTCAGTAAGTCTGTTGAAGGACGTGACAGTGGCCTGATCCTCCCCAACACCGAACCGTTATCCCCCGGCAGGGCCGGGCCGGGCCGGGCCGCGCGGAACTCCGCGGGGCAGCCCTTCACCAAAAGGAGGGAAAAATATCCAATTTTCATCGCAAAATTAGCTAGGGCGAGAGCAAAGGGCTGAGCTAATTGTAGCCTAATCCTCTGCCCTGCAGGCGTTTGCAAAGCCCTGAGCAAGAATTCGCTTTTTTTCCTCCTCTTCTCCCTTCCCTCTGTTATTTAGAGACGGGATTATTGCCTTTCTTCTCATAACAGCCTCGGCAGTTTCATTTAAAGGCTTTTTTCCCCCCCTCTCACACACACACATACACACACACGCACAAAATAAATAGAAAAAGAAGCAGCAAAAACAGGGGAAGAGCGAGGAGACAGAGAAGCTTTAAAAATAATAATAATCACAGCAGGATCTGCGGAGCAAAGATAGTAATAAAAGCAAAAAGCTGAGCCCATCCACACACAGCCCCGGCAGAGCCCAAAGCCAAAGGGGGGCTCGCAGATCTCTTCTGTGCTCAAGGTAAGGACCTCGGCAGCGGCTCCCGCAGCTGCCCGTGCGCCCGCCCGTGCGGGGCCGGAGCGCGCCGTGCCGTGCGCGCCGTGCCTCGCATCGCGCCGCACCGCGCGGTTCGCGCCTGCTCGCGCTCCTTTTTTTTTTTTTTTTTTTTTTTTTCTTTTTTTTTGGAAAGTGCCTCTTCAAACTCACTCGGCTGCCGGCTCCGGGGAGCAGCGGCGGAGGGGTGTTTTTTTAAAGCTACAGGACCCGTTTGCAGCCGCCCCGCTTTGGTAGCGCCGCGCGTGTGTGTGTGTCTGTGTGTGTGTGTGTGCGTGTGTGTGTGTATGTTTTGTTTTGCTCCGCTCCAGCATGGGCAGCGCCGGCGGAGCCCCGCGGCCCGGGGTGCCCGCGCTCCCGCTGCCCCCCCGGCCCCGGCTCTGAAGACGGCCAAGCCCCAGCGCGGCGGAGGCAGCGCGGCTCGCTCTGCGCTTTCGCATGGTACACGCGGAGCGCGGCCGCGGGCTCGGGCGGGCGGGAGCGCGGGGGTGCGCGGGCCGGGGCGCGGGGGCTGGCGGCGGGGCGGCTCGGCACAAAGGGAAGGCGGGCGACAATGGGGAGCGCCGCGTATGGAAAACACGGGCGGGCTGTGAATGAAACTCTGGCGCCAGTGAGAGTGGAAGGCTTGGTTTGGGGTAGACTTCAAACCACTCTAGGCTATAGTTTGCATTCCTGCTCCTGCATGCGATGTGGCACACTTCTGCAAAATTAATACATTAGCCTGGCTAATGCTCACCACCATTGGCTGCGCGGAAAATGTGCAGGATCGGGGATTCGGGCTTGACTTTTTTTTCTTGCATTCATCTAAGACATCTCCTTTCTTGTTATGTGGGAATAAGTAAAGGACGCCATGTTGTGCCTTCTTTTTTTTTTTTTTTTTTTTTTTTTTTTTTTTTTTTTTTGGGTTGAATTTTTCCTTCGGGTATACAGTGTGTTCAAAAGAAAAAGGCAGAAGTTGAGTGACCGGGTGCGTTGCTCGCTGGTGATTTCCCTGACCATCAGTAGGGAAAAGCATTTGGGTGACGTGAAACTTGCACTAAATAGACTGGAGTCTGCCAGAGAGGCGGGTTGCTGGGTGGGGGGGGAAGAGGGGGAGGAAGGAGAAAGCCTTCCTTTTTTTTTTTTTTTTTTTTTTTCCTTTTTTTTTTTTTTTTTTTTTTTTTTTTTTTTTTTTTTTTTTTTGGTGGGGAGCTCCAGAGGGAGTTCCCCTTTGCTTCCCCCCCGCCTCCCCCCCCAAAAGTTTTGGGCACGATCTCCTCTGTGTCTCGGTGCAGTGTTCAGTAAAGCAACGTGGAGATGTGTGCAAATGTTTATGGAGTTTTAATTTTGGAGCCACCGAGCCCAAGGCTTGTAGCCCCCCGCCCCGCTTTGTCTTTGGGCTGGGAGCACGGCGGAGGCAAGTTGTCTCGGGGTGGCTCCGGAGGCAGAGGCGGTCGCCGTCCCTGCGCAGCCAGACAAAGGTAATTGCCCGGTCTGGCTGTGCCCCTCCGGCAGCGCCGGGCGCAGCCCGGGCACGCAGACTGCCCCGCAGCCACGGCAGCGCCCGGGGAACTTGTGGCCCGCAGTGCCGAGGATGGGGCGGTCGGGGGGATGCAGTGGGTGGGTTTACCCTCGGTGGGTCTGCCGGTACAGAAATGAAGGTCCCCGGGGAGGAGGAGCGGCTTCCCCGAGGCTCCGGCAGCCCGGGAGCAGCGGCGCTGCCGGGGGTGCAGCCGGGCCCGGGTGCTGCGGCCCGCGCCGCCCCCAGCCCGGCTCCCCGGGAGAGCAGCTCCATGGCAGGTCCGTAAACCTGCCGTTTTCATTTCACGTCTTAAATGTGCATGAAGGAATTAAACTGCACGAGTGAATAACAGCATTAGTTTCAATTAATTTTTATCCTGGCAACAATAAACTTTAGAAACAAAGCGCTTTTACATCCTTAATTAGTCTTGCTTCCCATCTGTAGTCTTTTAAGTGCCTGCTCCTTGATTTAACTTTGTCCCTCCTTCAGAGCCGCCTCCTTTTTTATTATTTTCCTTTTTTTTTTTTCGTTCCCCCTTCCAGACTGCTGCCTGTTTCTTTCCTGCAACCTTTCACCTCCCTTGTCCCTATCTGTCTGCTCTGCTCTGTGCAGTTTATTTCTCCTGTATTTTCCCAACATCAACAGCAGTATTGGTTACCATGGCCCCAAGCTATGTGCAGAGGTGGGAAAGCTTCATCCGCCCAAAACTTCTTACACTTTTGAAGTCTTTCTTTTAGTAGGATCTGAAATGTATCATCTAGAGTGTGTATTAAATGAACAGTATTCCTGAAGGCTTTAGAGCAAGAAAGGCAACACCCTGGAAAATTCTGCAGTCTTTCAGCATTCTCTGCCCTAGGGTTATAGCCCTGGGCACGGAGCTGAATGGAGCTCTTACAACTGCCTTCTGTTTACCTTTTATGGTTAAAATAACAGCTTAGCAAAGAAGCAACTTCATGGAGAAACGATTCAGTGAAATCATCTCAAGCTGTAGCAGCATAGCTAGTTTAATCACCCCTAGAGAGCTGAACAACTGTGAGCACAATGGGACACAAAATCATTTTGTGTGTAAATGAGCATGGCATTGTGATTATTTCACTTTGCATGGGCAAATAGTTTTTACAAGCAGTTAGCTTAGGAAGGCAGAAAAAGATAAGCTGGCTCTGAAAGATCTTGGTGTGTAATGTTTGAAAAACTAAATATTCACATAATTTGGGAATCAGGCTCTATTGATTTTGCCTTCAGCAGGTTCCTGTGCTACTTATTAGAGCAGGGTTATTGCCTGTGCCACTAGTTGGGATGCTGTATCCTGTTGTAGGCAACTAAAGAGCAAGGATTATTTTACATGGTTTAATAAATGAAGTTTGTTAGTGTTTCTGCGATATTTACCCTTAAGGTTTTAATTTTCTCATCCATATTAGAAAATATGTGCATAAAGACTTCCACTGGATAAATACATTTAGGATTTTGCTTTGTGCATAAAATAAGTACATTACTCAGTGTGATGAATTTTTGCTGTGTGTTACATTGAGAAGAGGAAGGAGTCATTAGAAATAGGGTTATGGTACCTTAAGAAACGGGGTATTTTTTTTTGGAGCAGTAGTGCTTAGCCATCGTGCCTCTTGATAATTAGCTCATACAAAAAGGATTGAATTCCACAATTTTAATAAAAATCTGGGATTCCTTTTTTAATATGAATCCTCTTCAGCCAGTGTTTTAATTCCCCTTCTCCTCCTCTCCCCCCAAAAGCCAGTGGCACCCTCAATAAGTATGAAAAGCCATAAAAGTTTGAGAACTATTTTAGCTTTCCAGTGATTTTCTATAATTAAGTGTTTTTTCAACACATGCTCTAGCTGAGAAATGCCAAAAGCAGAGGATTGTTCAAAAGGTCCCTCCAGTGAATAGTATAAATTAAATATCTACTGTGTGAGTATGGCCTCACTGAGAATCTCAGTCTTTACAGATCAAGGAATTTACTGGTATACTAACATTAAACAAAATCCTAAGATAGCAGCAGTGCTTAAATATGCACAAATAGATTCATATCACTTGATCTTTAGCTATCTGTGCATATTTTAAAATTGATGTCTGTATTTCAAGACAAATGGTTAAATGTAAGACACATTTACAGAAGACTGGAAGTCCTTTGATTTCATTTGGAAATTGTAACAAGGGGTGCAGATGAGCCCTAATTAGACTCTTGTTTTGTGAAACTGCATGAGATTTATTTCTGAGGCAGCCCTGTACCGTGCAAGGTCTGTACCTTTATCATTAGTGAACATGGTTGGGGTCTGAACAAAGACAGGGTTGACATTCAGCCTGGATCTTCTGACCCTTTCATTTAAGTGAAAGAGTAGAGACTGAACATGAGTTTACAGTGCTCTTTGGTAAGGAAAAAGCCAGCAACCTTTGTCTGTGTTGGCAGACAGATTAGTAAACACGTTGCTAAAATACTGCAGGTACTTACATACTAAGTTGTTTTTTAAGTTAGTTGTTTTATTTATGCTGTATGACATATTTACTGAAGGTTGGCCACAACCAGCTCTTGTGGGAAACAAGAAAGCAACATCTTCAGTCATGAAAGGATTCAGTCACTTTCCTTGAAGGTGGTGCTGTAGTGAAAATGTTAATGCCCAATTTTGCATCGGCTGACACAGGAGTCCTAGGACAGAGTTGGCATTTGCTGCTTGCTCAGTGCAGCTGTCCATCCAGCCTCTGAAGAGACGAGGATGTGGATTCATAATGGGGTGATGTATTCCTGTGCTGTAGATGCAAGAAATTCTTAGGAGCTAACCGAGATGAAATACAGTAAATGGAGATGTTGTGATGACTTTGTGAAGCTGTTCAGATATGTTAAGATTTTCAGTCACTTTCTCTATAGCTTGGGAATTATTTTACAAAGAATGTTGCTGATTTATGTTCATCAAGTGGTGTGGTCGGGCATCTTGAGCAAAATACTGCTAAGGGAAAGGCAAGACATGCTTTAGATTTTTCAGAAACATTGTCAAAGTAATGTGGGAGAAATAGAAATTCACTTTGCAATGCTGCATGTGAAGTGCTTGTCAGATGTAAGGAAGAGTCTGGGTGCTTGGTAGCATGCTTGAATTACAGAATACCAGGAAAATTAGATTATATTCAGAAATGTCTTCAGCTATAATGTTTTGCATATGTTGCTTTCCTCATAAGGGGGGGAATGGATGTACATTTTCTTAAACTTTTCTAGAAGGGTTTTTTTTCTGTTTGACCTGTGTGCCGTCTGCACCGACTGAACTGAAATCAGCTTTGAGACACGTTTCGTGGAGAATAAACTGCTTTTCTTAAGAAAAGAATTGAGGAATTTGCTTTTGCTAGGTTGTCCTGTTCCTTTTTAAGACATTTCAGTATTTTTAGCTTTGATTTTGCTGAAAATCTTTTGATTCAATTCAGTAATTTCACTAATTTTCCAATATTTTTAGGGCAGGAGACATTAGGTGGATTGTGGCATTTATAATTTCATGTGCTAGATTATTCGGTACTTTCTTGTCCTAAAAGCATGAGTCAGTTTATTTATCTTTCTGTTTTCACTGCTTCCAGGTATTAATTGCTTTCAGTTTGAAATCTTATTAGTTGTTTAGGTCTAATATTAAGGCTTAACTGAAAATTATCCATTTATTTCACAATTATTGAAAATAAGCCAGAAAACTGATCTTAGTTGGGAGTGAAATTTACTAGAGGTATAAACTAAATGCCTTAGGTACTGAGGAAGTCACTAATTTAGAGGTGTCTTGTTACTGAGACAAACTTGCAAAAACCCCCTGAATCCCAATTCACAAATTGGTTATTCGTTTGTCAGGGGATATTTCACATCTAACACATAAGCCCACGACCTTTAATTAGAATTTTGCAGTTTGTTTTATGCCCCTTGAGGCTGACACCTTGAAAATTTTTTTTCTTGATTTCTTATTGCTAATAAGCATCTTTCTCTTCCCCTCTGGTACTCAGAAGAAAATGATGCAAATACACTTAATTACAGTGGTGGCAATAATTTGTTAGCTGAATATGCGATCAGGCAGATGCAAAAGCGATCTGATTAGATCTGTGATCACGCTGGAAAGAAAGGTAACACACTGCTACATTTAAGAGAAACTGTTCTTTTTGCCTCCCCGCTGCAGGAGGGAAGAAGCATGTCCCGTCTGTCTCTGACACGCTCCCCGGTTTCTCCTCTGGCTGCTCAAGGAATTCCTCTCCCAGCTCAACTCACCAAGTCCAACGCTCCCGTGCACATCGATGTAGGAGGACACATGTACACCAGCAGCCTGGCTACCCTGACCAAGTACCCAGACTCCAGGTGAGACCTTGGCGTTGGCAGCTCGCTGCCTGCCGCTGCTCCCCGCGTGCACCTGTGAGGAGCATTGCAGTGCCAAGTACCATTTGTTATATATTCACTGCTTATGAATAATTCACTTTCTGATTTATACAGTAACTTCACTGGGGTTCTGCAGAAAAAAAGGCCTGTACAATTTATATATTATTTAGAGAGTCTATTCATTTTCTCTCTCAACATCTTCCGTGCTCTGCTGATACGTTTGAAGCACCTGTTGGTGTGCTGCCCTAGATTATTTCCAGCTGTACCAGGAAACTTGTTTCTTTCAGGTTTGGGGGGAAAATTGGTTTTTTCTTCCTCGAGGAGGAAGAATGGTTCTGCTACTGTGGGACTAACAGATGCTTCTGTTGGCCAGCCAGAATCCTGACCTCAGTGGTAGCTGTGTGCCCCAGCAGTCGGGTCCTCTGGGCAGTGCCTGGCTGACCCACTCCGGCTGCTGCAGCCACAGGCTGGACAAAATTCCTGTGAGTTTCAATGTAGTGCCTTGTGCTGGATAGGTTGGTGACATGTCTGGCAAGATTTATGTAGATCTGGCCAGCATTATCTCAGGATAGACTCCAGATATGCCTAATTAGGAATAGCTGTGGCATGAGGTTATTGGTGTGTGACATGGGGTCTCTGTTGTCTGCCTGGCCGCCAGTCCTGCAGGGTTCTGGGAGGGTGGGGGATCCTGGGCAGCGTGCAAGGCACTGCTCCGTGAGGGGTGAAACCCACACTGAGAGGTGCCTGATGTGGATTTAGAGTCATGGCCACTCAACCAGTGCTGCTTTTTACCCCTGAGGCTGCTCAGGGTGAGCTCCAGAGGCTGAGTGCAGGGCCAGCGTGCCCGCTGCACTCTTGGCTCCAAAGCAAGCCAAAGCCCAGATTCTGTTGCCACAGGTTTTGCTACCTGCATGGCCAGTATTCCATGAGAGATATTTTTTTTCTTTTTTGGTATGACAACCGGTGTGAAGTGCTAGTTTCATCTGAACATTTTTCTTTTAAAAGAACTAAGGGGTTTTGCAGGTTTGGCAGGTTCCCAAGCAATAAATGACATTTATGGAGACACCTTGAAATGCCTCTAATATCATAAAGCATATGGCTGGGATTTCATTCCAAGGAAAGGGAGCTGCTGAAATTCTCTATGGAAAAAAGCCCAATTATTAAAATACCTATATTTTGTGGTCGGACCAAAGCAATATGATTTTTTTGGACAGTGTCTGTTTAATAATGTTTTTGTAGTACTACTTTAATCATAGAGAAGAAATCTGTTTAGTGAAGAGAGATTTATAACGGAGAAGCATACAAATGCTTCATGGTATTAAAAAATACAGTGAAGATTCAGCAGTTGTAATAGAGTGACACATCTGTTTCCACCTTTTAAAATATTGCTGCTATTTTTAAAATATGCCCCACATCAAGCTTACTTAATAAAAGCTTCAGTTAGAGAAGCTTTGGGAGAATATACATAAATTCAGATTTTATTTCAAGAGAATACTGTACTGAACCAAAATTCTCTTTTTTTTCTGGATGATAAGTAACAAAAGCATATTTCTTCAGATTTTGAAAGCACAAAACTGACCAGAGCTTTCTTGCTGCTTGATGTTTTGCTGTGTACTGTCTTTTGTTTATATTGCTGTGTTAATTCATAAGGTTTGAATGCTTTTTCAGCTGCTCAAACTTCAGTTCTCACTGAAGTGAGAGCTTCCAGCATGAAACCTATAGATGACATCATTTTTGTAGCAAAAGATAAACCTTCACCAGCAGCCCAAGTAAGACATACTGCTTGATACATTATGAAACTGGGTGAAGGCTGTATCTTAATTTATTATCTTTCTTTTTTCCAATATTGTTGGTTTTTTCTGAAGTGCTGTGTAGTAGACTTGGTTGTAAGCCCCTCAATGAGTCTGGCCTGCTGGCATTCCTGGCTGAGGCAAAATACTTGCAGTTATTCCCATGGGGATGGTTGGAGCTCCTGGTGCTGCTTCCCTGCCCTGGTGTGGATCTTGCATATGGCACAGGCTGGCTTTGCTGTGCTGGGGCTGGGAGAGGATTCCCAGGTCTCTCAGGGGGCAGGAGGAGGGAGAAAGCTCTCCTGAGCAAAATATCCAGAAATGATGCCAGGGCGCTGCTGGCTTCTGCCGGAGGTGTAACACGTGTGGCCGCACGGAGAGGCACGGGCACACTGCTCCAGCAGAGCTTTCTGGGATGCTTTGGACAGCGTGTTAAACTCTTGGCTCGAGTGTGAGTTTAAAAGCTTCAAATCCAAGAAATCACACAAATCTGTAGATTGTATTTCAGCAAAAGATATAAGCATACGCTGAAATGCTTTGCTAAATCTTAGCTGCAGTCACGTAAAATAGTGCTTGCTGAAATTGAAAACTGTGAGAATAAACTTCCTTTTTGTTTGTTTTACAATTTCTGTTGCTTTCTCTGTGCTCCCAGATCCCAAAGAGCTTCCAGCTTGTAGGCTTTTTAGCATGTACAGTACTTGGGTTTTTAAGGACACGTGGATTGTGAGCGTGTGTATAAACGGGTGTGCGTACACAGAAACATCACATACTGCTGGGAAAAATAAATCACCCGGTCGCGTTTGAACTTCCTCAGTATTTTGAGGAGGTCCTGAGCAAACTCAGTCCGTGCTGCCTTCAGTGAGAGGGAGGAGCTGCCAGCAGCCGGCCGGGTCAGCAGCGCGGGGAGCTGTGCCCCGGTCCTGCCGGGCCACCTGTGCTGTGACAGCGGTGACAGCTGACAGCGAGCTGCGGCTCTGACGGCAGGGACTGGGCCCTGCCCGGCCCCGGGTGCTCGGCTCTGCTCGGGCAGGGAAGGACATGCTGGGGAAGTCTCACTCGGGTTAGTGAATGCTGTTAATGTGAAGCCAGAGGCCAAATCGTGCATTTCAGAGATCCCCGAGTTGTTCCAGAGCAACTTTGACCAAGTCTTTGATGTTGTTTGTATTAGTGCAGCCCTGTGATCAGGGCGTTTGTCCACTGATGAAATTTGCATAAGTAAAGGGTGCCAGATTAGGCATTAAAGGGGGTAGATGCTCTCTTTCCTGGAAATTTTTATGGCCCACATAAATTCTCTTAAGAGGAGAAGACTTGAGCAGGCACAAGTGGTGTGACAAAGGAGGAGAGGGCTCAACAGCCACTGTCAAAGGTGGTTCTGGACCACTCGCTCACCCACTGCTCTTGCACACCTTTCCAGTCGGCTTTTTGAATTAAACCACACGCAAGAGAAAAAAGCTGGCCTTTCAGAGGGTGAAAGGCAAGGGAAATGAGAAACATAAAAAGAAACTGTGATCAACAACAGCATAATGGTGGTGGTCTCAGAAATTAGCTCACAAATAATATTATTATTCCCACATCCGGTACCTACTTGGGGCCACTTGCCATGCATACCCAAAATTGTCATTAAAGTTGAAAAGCTTTGAAGGTACAAGGAGGTTGATGTTGTCTTACCTGGATCTGAGGCTCAATTTCAGTAGTTTGTTTTCAGCAAATTATCCTACTTAAACTGTCAATTCTTGTAGTACTGAATTGCAGGTAAAAAAAAATCCAAAACAAAAACAACCTAAAAAACTGTTGAATTCTAGTCACCCTTACCATCAGCATCTTTTTTCTGTAATAATTGGCTTGGTAAAGAAATTATTCATCTTTGTAGCATTTGCTCTGGAAATTTCATTCCTGTTTTCACCCAGAGGACCTCTAAAGCAGCCCCTTCACACGTTGACACTTGAATGTGGATTTATATGACAGATTGTAAAGGCTGCAAAATCTCTAGCACATCCATAAAGTGAGTTGCAAATTGTATTTATCCAGTGGAGTGAGACAGTTTTTCCATTTAGAAAACAAACCTGCACCAAAAGTCCAAGCTCCTTAGGTGCAGCCAGGAGCACCCAAAGGCATTGCCAGATCCCCCAGTCTCATTCCCACTGAGCTCTGGCAGACATCTCATTGACTTCCAGCAGAAAAGAGGTGGAAGCTCCAAATCCCTGCAGGCTTCTTGATTTCCCTGGAAATTTTGATACCACTTTGAATTTAGAAAGCAGAAGAATATTTTTTTTTGTCAGAAGCCTGTCCTTTTCACAGTCCTGAGCAGTGTTTTTATCTCAGGGAATTGCTGTGAGCTCTCTCTGAGCTGTGCTGCTGTACGAGGCAAATCTATTTACCTTCCATTCTTGGCTAGTTTGTGTATAACCCTCTGTTCAGGACACTTCCATGTGCTATAAAAGCTTATGTTTTCTGTGGCATTACTTATGGCAAAGGGGAGAGGAATGATTTCTGTGGCAGTGCCGCTGTCCAGGTGGGAGCAGTGAGGGTGCAGAGAGCCCAGAGAGCCTCCCCTGGGGGTTTGGGAGCTCTGCTCTGCTCCCAGCCTTTCCCCCTGCCAGGATGGAGCTCCTAAAACCAGAATACACTTTTTATACCCTTTCTAGTTTCTCAGTAAATTTACCATTTATTTATTTATTTATTTTATGGGCCACATAATTTATTTAAATTTAAACTTCATTTAAACTTTCTTTAAATTGAACTTAGATTAACATATTTAAACATCAAGGATATACTTGTTAAAATACATGTACAAATATAGAGTGTATATTATATATATTACCAAAATATGCTTAAGAAAACTTAAAGATAACATTACTGACACTGAATAAAAAATTTATCTTGACAAAAATGCAATAAAACACAAAATCTTAAAATGAATAAGAATTAGACCTGACCCTAAATAAACTTAAGAACAATCCAACTTAAGAGAAAATTGCTCTTAATTAACTCAGTGGAATAAGAAAACATAACATTACAATGAAAATAGCAACATGATAAATTTCAATGGCCAGGGCAGCTGAGCAGTGCAGCCCCTCCTGGTCTCAGCTCTGGGCACTGGGCTCTGCCACCCCATCTCTGGAGCTGTGCTCTCCAAGGACAGCCAGCACAGGTTTTATTATTTGGTTCAGGAGCTAATGACCTCTCTACAAG